AGAGAATTACTCAAGACTAGATGACAATTCGCGGGAATCAATGTTACCAGGTGGCGCTCGGTTTTCATCGTTCCATATCAAAACTGGGGGAAAACAAACTTAATCCTCACTCAATCCCATTAGTGCCATTAGGTTGTGTACTGTGTACTGATAAGAGTGATTAGTTTTTGAATTTCTTGACATTAATTGTCAATATTCGACCTTTTGGCAGATATTTTGCTCTATTTAGATGGAAAAAGCCGACCAGTAGTGGAAGGAGAAGCAGTTCTCCGTGCTAATCATGTGATTTTGTGTGAGGCAGAGGACTTCAACAAAAGGCACATTTTTGCACTTTGTCTACAAACTTCGGCGATGAAATCTTCCCCACATGAAGTAAAATTGAAGTTGGGGTCCACCAGAGGAACTCCTGTAGAACATTGGATTTGTATTTGTTCCTGCAGAGCAGGACAATCTGGGTATGTTGTAGCTGTTCTTTTATATTCCAATTAATCATAATTAGTTTGAATTGTTTGAACTATCTCCAATTCTTCACCCGTTCACTGTTCACTGAACTAATAAAAATGTAATAATGAAAAAAAAATGGCTAACTCAAACATCATCACTACCAACACTGCCAACACTTTATGTCATTGACAAGTTTGACTACAGCTACAGCAAGCTGAATGCAATGAAGTCTATGCACTTCATCCATAGACAACAGTTTGTTTTCCCCCAGTTTGAAGTTCGTATTATGTAACCTAGATGTCGCCCACTTCGTGAATCTCGCGAATAGACACCGCAATTAATTTATGAATCATTAAAAGGTGAACGTCAAAAATCCTGAAGGCCAAATGCGGATGAATGAACTAAATCGTGAATGGTGGGGATAATAACAGACATTTGTACATTTGCGGAAGATGGCTCAGACTGAATAACTGTAAATAGGCACAGCGATTAATTCATAAATCATTGAAAAGTACCTATAAGCCAACGATCCTGAAAGCCAAACACGGTTAAATGAATGAAATCGCGATTGGTGGGGATAATAAGGCACTTGTACATTTTCGCGTTAGTGCTTAAACTAGATAATAAAAGATAGACACAGCCATTCATTAGTGAATTATTGAAAAGTTTACACCAATAGTCCTAAATGCTTAACACGGATGAATGAATGATATCGCGAATGGTGGGATTAATAAACACTTGTACATTTGAATGTGAGTGCTCAGACTAAAAACGATCATAAATCATTAAAAAGTATACACCAACAGTCCTAAATGCCAAACAACACGAATAAATGAATGAAATCGCGAATGGTGGGGATAATAACAGATACTTGTACATTTGCGGGTCGGTTGTCATTAAGTAACAATAGATAGTCACAGTGATTGCCAGAGAAATGACATTCTTCATAGATATATTTTATACATCTAATGAATCTGGGCCACGTTCATCTTGTTATGAAGGTTGTTCTATTTTTTTTTCATAAGCTATTAATGCCAAGTTGAATAAGATGTTCTATCCAAAAAATTCCAATCCAATATCAGTTCGGCAGTAGTATCAACGTAATTTCCTCCTAAATTCCCTGTCATTTAATTATAATGAGGGCTTACATTCTCAATATCACCTGTTGCCGCTACTACAGCTTGAGGTCTATTTCAATATCAAAATTTCCCAAATTTGGTCCAATTGCAAATTTCAATTGAAACCATTTCTTCGATAGATTTGTCGCTTTGGAATTTTCGTCTATTTCAATATCAAAATTTCCCAAATTTTGCCGGGTCGTCCTGAAGCCTAAAGCCTGTTTTTCGAGAATTTGCTCCAATTACAAATGTTCGCAAAAATCACAATCAAATAGAATAAAATTTTCTCGGATTTTCGTTCACTTTTTGATGCTTCTTCAAAATAAAAGCTGTGCTGTACCAGGCCCAATCCATCGAAAAAAAAATTAAAAAACCAAGTACCTTGTTGCCAAGAGCATGACTGTCCAAATCCGCCGCTAATCTACCATTGAAGTCTATCATTTTCTGGAGTATTTCGGTCGGAATATTCCGGAATCGGCAGGAAAGAATATGGAATAGGTCAGCTCCGTTCAACGAGCTAACGTAAACCTGAATGAACCTGTTGAGGAAGGACTGCGGAAGACCTCTGCGAGATCCACCCTGTTTCAGCGGATTTTGACAGCCGAAAAATTTCGTTCCTGAAATACAGAGTGATTTCAGAGGTGAGTCACTCCACCAGCATACTTTGCGTATACTCAAAGTGCGTCAACAAATTTATTTTCACTTGTAATACCACTAGTGGTCAAATTATTTCCGGAAATTTTTTCGAGCTCATGGATATTTTGAAAATTATTCCGGGTGGACGACGAGGGATAATTTTCGAAATATTCATGAGCGAAGTAATTTAACCTCGTGTGGTATTCGGTAAGGAAATTTCACACCAGATTGTGTTTGGAAATTAAATAATTTTAGAATTTATTTGTTCATTTGATATGCATACAGGTTCATGAATAAATTTAGTTTAGGTCGCAGTTTCGGCACCAATAATAGATTCCTGATTTCTACCTATTATATTTGCAAGAAAATACTAGTTTAAAATGTAACATATTATATTCTTCCATTTCATATTAACTTCGGGATACTACAAGTGATAAGAAATTATAATTTTGTCAATTAATTTTTCATGGGTATAGGAACATACTAGTAATAGTAGAGAAGGAGGCGGTCGCCTAGCAAGTATGCCCCAGTGAGCCTTTTTTTGCCGACCCCTGCTGCACACGTCATGTGCACAATATATCTACTATTCCTTCTCCTGATTCTCCTTTTCAAACCTCCGTGGATTTCTTATGAAGGTCAGTTTGTCCGCCCACCTTAGTTAATTTGATCTTCCTGTTGAAGCATATCAGTAGGTACTAGAGATTTCGAATTTTAGTCTTCCATAACGCCTTACACTGGCCCGTCGATTTTTGAATTCTTCAGTGTACATTTTCGTAGGAATAGTTCACTCCTATTTCATCTCTTACTGGAGGGGAGCAACCTTATCAAAAAATTCAAATAGCATGGGTAGGTGAGTGATAGCTCATTTGAAATTTCAATTTCTTTGCACGGTTGAATAGAGAATGAACCCCCCTTTCAAATGAGCTATCATGCACCACCCCATGCTATTTAAATTTTTTGACAGGGTTGCTCCCCTCCAGTAAGGGATGAAATTAGGAGTGAACTATTCTTACGAAAATGTACACTGTAAAAATCAAAAATCGACCGGTCTCGGCAATTTTCCTAACTAGAGTCCCGTGACGAGTTAGATAGGGTAACACTTATGATTCACACTGTATATAATAGATGCAGTTAGGGTATCAATGGATTCTTAGCCTATTAATTGTTGATTTCTACCCAATTGAAGTGGCACAAAATCACTATTTTAAGACGTCAAAATATTATTCTGTCATAATAAAACGTCATAAAAAAAATCCGATTTCATACGTTGGTGGGTACCCACGAGAAAAAAGTTTCCACTGAAATACATATGTTGCTATGGTAATTTTTCATAAAAACCCAATTTAACAGTATAAAAATCACGAGATATCCGAATTTTTTAGGAGAAAACTTATTTTTTCTCACCCGGTTGGACGTGGAATGTTTTCCCGAGCTCGGGCACGAAAATCTCCCCGCGATGGTCCAAACAAGCGTTGAGCCCCTCCAAGACGGACTGCGAGGCCAAATTCAGTTCGTCCAGCAGGATCCAATGGCCGCTCTTGAGAGCCCGCAGGAGCGGGCCGTCCCGCCAAGAGAACTGACCGCCGCTGCCCCCTTCTACCGGTAGATCCGCTCCGAAGAGATCCGAAATATCCTGCAAATAAAATGATTTCCGAAATGATTAGTAGTTTGAAAAACTAAAGAAACACGCTTCTGTATACAATGTATTCAAAATTGAAATTTGGCGACTGAAAACTGTGACCTAAAACTGTCCATTTTGAGAAAATATTCTATCGAAAGTCATTTTTTTCGTAAACTAGCGTCTATAGAACGGCGAAGCTTTGGAATTCTTTGCCAACGGAAGTATTTCCAAGAACTTATAACCCCCAAAAGTTCAAAAAAATATACCAACACCTACCTACTCTCCCTATCCTCCCTGAGTACGCACGATGTTCCACAAACATTATAGGAATTTCCTTTCGTGCGCTCCAAGAGATGAAAAAAAAAGACAAACTTTGGATCAATGTACAGACAATGACAGTCACCTGCTCGCTTACGTCTCACATACATGGCAGCAATCTATTGAAAAATATGGTGAAACCTTAGCCGTGGCACTTGATAACTCCAAGGCATTCGATCGAGTCTGGCACCACGGACTCCTCGCCAAGCTTCCATCTCATGGCCTGCCTCCCCAGCTATGTCCTCTGCTAGCTAGTTTTCTCTCAAACAGGTCTCTCCATGTAGTGGTCGACGGAGTTTCATCTGACTCTCTTATCAGCAAGGATCAATTCTATCACTATTTCTACTCCATATCAACGATTTGTTGGAAGCAACTTCATGTCCAGTACACAGCTTCGCGGATGATAGTACCCTCCATACCGCCTTCTCTTCCAGGGTTCCAATACCAGCCAGGCAGATCAGAAACGAACGAGGGAGACATGTTGACAACATAAATATGGACTTGGCAACAGTTCTCGAATGGGGATCCAATAACTTGGTAGATTTCAATGCAAACAAAACACAAGCATGCCTTCTCTCTGGAAAAGCCGATGTCACTGTGCCCAACATAAGCTTGTCAGGAGTAACCATACCTTTGAAGACATCCATTTCGATGCTTGGTATTAAAATCAGCAATAACCTTTCTTGCCAGAAGCTATTTCACTTCCAGTCAGCTGCTTATGATCTATAAGGTACAGATCCGACCTGTCCTGGAATACTGTTCCCATATTTGGAGTGCAGCTTCCAAACATACCCTGAAACTGTTGGATTCTGTCCAAGAAAGGGCAATTCATCTCGTGGGTGATGCCTCGCTCGCAAACTCACTCACTTCTCTGGAACACCGTAGAAAAGTTGGAGATCTGGCTCTTCTGAAATATCAACAATTGTTCCTCCCTTGGCAGTCCCCGCGATATTAACCCGTCGAGTTGAGGCTTCGTACCCCTTCATGGTCACTTTGGAGACCTGCAGAACATCTCTTTCCAAAGACTCGTTCATCCAACGAACAGCGAGGCTCTGCAAAGGAGGTGTTTCCCGAGGCATATAACCTCCAGAAATTTAAGAAGAACACCAATTCCTACCTTATTTCCCTTGGTTCTCACGATGTTCTCTGAACATTACAGGATATCCCTTTTCGTGGGAACCAGAACATAAAAAACAAATACCTCTCGCCTACTAACAAGATTTTCATTTAGAATGACAATGGCAGGATATCCACACATCAGACACATTTTCTTTGAAAATTATTGAAAAAATATAACACCAAATTCAATTGGAAAACATTCCGAGACACACAAAAATGTTCTATTATAACACACTCTAATCACATGAATTCGCGGCTCGGTGGTCGAGAGCGTGAATGCGCTGAGTTCGTATGGGGACTCCCACTGAGACATAGGTTAGAATTCCTAGTTAGACCAGGGGTGTCTGTGTCTGTATGCTTACTTAACCCCGCACAATTTTCGATTTATGGGGCCACTGGGGCCAACGAGGTAATGCAATTGCAAAAAAAAAATAACTCACCGTCTGATCGGACAAATTCACCCTGAGCAGCTCGTGCCCCGTCGCCCTAGCCAGGGCGGTCACCAGACCCGTCTTGCCCACCCCCGGGCTGCCCTCCAACAGGATGGCCTTGTCCAGCTGCATGCCCCGCAACAGCCGCGCAACGTTCGACAGAGTCGTAGGGGCGTCGAAGGCGAAATCTGTAGAGTCAAGGGCGGTTTTTCCCGTGGGGATGAAGAAGGGTTTGACGCCGAACCGATCATCAGTTTTATCCACCCTCGGTGGAGTGTGGGGTACGGACGGGGTGAGTTTGGATGTTTGGTTGGTGAGGAATTCGTGGCAGGCTGATTTGAACTTGTCCAACGATTTCGAGCTGGAAAATCGTGTGTTTAGTATACAGCACACCCTGTACAGGACCAGCTTACACTTTCTTCTTATCGAGTATCAGTCGCAAAAAAAATAATGAAAAGGTGCATGCTTGTATTTGAGATTACGTTCTCTTCGTTTAACATATTTTTGACAAGGCAGTGTTGCCGCTTCCATCGAAAAGTAGATACAACTTCGTTATTCCACATGGAATAACATGATAGATTCTCCCTGAATGGCTGATTTCATCGATATATCACGCTTATGGTCTAGCGAGAATGATTACAGAGATATAGGGTGATCAAAATCGGGGTTTCCCAACTTTAGGATTTGTTTCTGTCGGGTGGCGGAAATTTGATCGAGAGACAAATGATAGAAACACATTTGACAGAAGTCTTTTGATCGAAAATCAAAAAATAGAATAGAAAAGAACTTTTCACCGAAAATACATTTGATCGAATGTTTTATGATAGAGAATACCCTGTATCTGTTCCATAAATGTCAGTAGATAGTTAGATCGTTAGATCGAAAGTTAGATCGAAAGTTAAGATAGGGATATGAATGCCATTGTGACCGATAATGAATAGTTTCGACACAAAAAAACCTCAAGTTGAAAGACACCCTATATCTCTGTCATCATTCTAACTAGACCAAAAGTGTGATGAATCAATGAAATCAGCTTTTCAGGGAGAATCTGAAAATGCAGTGAAATACGGATTATTCCATTTGAAATAACAAAGTTGTTGCTACTTCTCGATAGAAGCGGCAACACTGCATTACATTGTCGAAAATATTTTAAACTAAAAAAGTGCAATCTCGAATGTAAGCATGCACATTTTCATAAATTTCTTGCGACTAATTCTCGATATTGTAAGCTCGTCGTGATATACCCTGTATAAACGAGAAACTCAAGTTGTCAACTCGTTAAGTGCGCCACTCAAACTGTGACTGTTTTTTGACAACCTGTATTTTTGAAGGAATTTATCGATTTACTTGCGGTTTTCGTTATCAGATTTTATTTTTCATTGAGTCCAAGGACAGCTACAATAATGAGAGAAAATCAACAAAAAGAAAGAAAAACTGGGTGTGAAGTGGATGCTCGATGTTTGCAATGATGTCTGGCATCAAAAGAATTGTTTCTGATGACAAGTCAATCACATTACAATACATTATGACTTCATTTTGAGACTTGTCAGGAATTTTCCACAAAACACATCAGGATGGGAAATAATGAATTGTTTCTTGAGTCAAATAGTTCTCAATATTTTTCTCTATTAAAGACTGATTGTTGGAAAAGAAGTTCTCATGTTATTTGAAGAATATCAGTACAGTCAAAATAATACTCACCTTTCTGTACTAGTAATTCCGGAACCCAAACTATCTAAAAATGTCAAATAAGCTCCATGAATATAGGCCTCCGTAATTTCCATTCTATCGGCGCAAGTATTTATAAAATTGACCCACGTCAGGATGTCTCGAATACTTATGGTAAATCTGAAAAAAAAACATTCCAATAGCTACAATTTTACAAGTTTCAGTAACACTGCATTTTTTTTCATCTTTGTGTGCCTGAAATAAGACAGGTAGGTAAGAGGTTTTAGGGAAAGCTATGAAAAAACATTTGAGACTGTGGAAGGGGCGCTAATTTATTGAAACTCTGTTATGTCAACTTAAAAGCACAGGCAGAAATTCATGTTCAACTTTTAAGAGAATTTTTTAAATTCTCATATTTGCTTCAAATTATTCATTATTGTAAACATCATCAACACTTTCCATTCAAGTAACCACAACATAATCTGCCACCTTGGAGGTTCAAATATTGATCATGAACTCCTATTCTTTCAACTTCAAAACTCCTATAGATACATATTCACGCAATTTAAACAATCGCATATGGCCATTTTGGAGACGCCATTTTGTTAACAATAACGTGTCAAAATGCATTTTAGCATACAAAGAAGTAGAATTTATGGATTTTATGGTAATATTTTGAGGTGTTAACAAAATACCCACCTTATTTCAAAACCTACTTCCATCATCAATATTTTTTCATTTAAATATTATTTGGAATAAGAAAAAATGCTCCTGAACAGTGATGAAGGTTGTCCTTTCTGTCATACAGAATATAAAAAAAAAATATTTTCGTAATTCCATACTGTTATTTTGATTTAACGGTATTCAGATGCCAAGTGAAAAGTTAATGAGAACAGCCTCCGTCCGTTAAGATTGTTTAACGGCCGGCGGCCGTTAACTGTTCCATAACAACACGATGTTGGGATTTTATTGTAGAATTAAGAGGTACGTGGTTTGTTTTTTCCTCGGAATCAAAATGAAATCCTTCAGCGGGATTAGGAAAAGTCTTGAACGACACACGGCCGATACGTAAATAACGGATTCGCTTATTTATACCAATATTCAACCTCATCCGTTATTTGCTACATATCAGCCTTGAAACGTTAATATCGTTTCACTCTGATTTGAATTGAACATGTTTTCTCACGAAAGAGTAGGAGGAATTCAATTTCAGGAGGAACACAAAACAGTGAACTTCCTCTGAGTAGTAAAAAAATATTTTTCCAGGATTTCTTCGATGACTATCTATAAGTTAATCAGGTTAGAATATTCATACCTAGATCTTTCGGGATTTTCTTTCCTTGTTTCTATATAAATAAAAATATTAGTAATATTTCAATGTATGTGTCAAAAACTTGAAAGATGAAATTAATATTCTACCTCTTTGATTAACCTACTCAATTCTCATATTTTCATTTAAAGAAACGTGGAGACGAAGAGACAACATAAAGGTCGGGGCTCAGCTACCGACATCAGTAAACGTATTGCTTACTACAGGGGACAAAAACATTTTTGACCTATTGGTCGAATTCATAACAAAAAGCAATATCGAAATATAAACGAAAAATTCAAATTGTGTGTGGCTGAAGGACTAATGCCCATGGCCATTAAAGTAGGAGAAAAAAAACAAGAGACAACAAAACGAAGAAATTTCCTTTGGTGACCTTGAATTCACGTACCTCTTCCCAACCTCCATTTTCTCGAACCACTCCACGAAATCCATGATGGAATTTCCCACGCCACTCGAACAATCCTCCTGATTGCCCATCGACACCCCGGTTTTGACGGTCCTTTCCACGATCGCCACCAGATCGTCTCGATGCCGGCACGTATCGCACCAGATCTCCGTAAAACGGTTCCTCAGGGCCGGAGACAGCTCTTTCTTGCCGAAATCCCCGCCCGGGTTCATCGTACCGATGAAGAAAAAGTTCGGGTGCGCGACTATCAGTTCGGAGTTGGCGCGGTTGTTGAGGTCTATACCTTTTTCCGCTAGCAATAAGGTCCTTTCCGGTTCTACAAGCATGGAAAACATGAATTATTATGAGAAAAAAAGTCGAAAAGAAGGTATGATTTGAATTATTATCAATAGGCCAGCTCCTTTTTGCCGAAATTCCCGCCCGGGTTCATCGTACCGATGAAGAAAAAGTTCGGGTGAGCGACTATCAGTTCGGAGTTGGCGCGGTTGTTGAGGTCTATCCCTTTTTCCGCTAGCAATAAGGTCCTTTCCGGTTCTACAAGTATGCAAAAACATGAATTATTATGAGAAAAAAAGTCGAAAAGAAGGTATGATTTGAATTATTATCAATAGGCCAGCTCCTTTTTGCCGAAATTCCCGCCCGGGTTCATCGTACCGATGAAGAAAAAGTTCGGGTGAGCGACTATCAGTTCGGAGTTGGCGCGGTTGTTGAGGTCTATCCCTTTTTCCGCTAGCAATAAGGTCCTTTCCGGTTCTACAAGTATGCAAAAACATGAATTATTATGAGAAAAAAAGTCGAAAAGAAGGTATGATTTGAATTATTATCAATAGGCCAGCTCCTTTTTGCCGAAATTCCCGCCCGGGTTCATCGTACCGATGAAGAAAAAGTTCGGGTGAGCGACTATCAGTTCGGAGTTGGCGCGGTTGTTGAGGTCTATCCCTTTTTCCGCTAGCAATAAGGTCCTTTCCGGTTCTACAAGTATGCAAAAACATGAATTATTATGAGAAAAAAAGTCGAAAAGAAGGTATGATTTGAATTATTATCAATAGGCCAGCTCCTTTTTGCCGAAATTCCCGCCCGGGTTCATCGTACCGATGAAGAAAAAGTTCGGGTGAGCGACTATCAGTTCGGAGTTGGCGCGGTTGTTGAGGTCTATCCCTTTTTCCGCTAGCAATAAGGTCCTTTCCGGTTCTACAAGTATGCAAAAACATGAATTATTATGAGAAAAAAAGTCGAAAAGAAGGTATGATTTGAATTATTATCAATAGGCCAGCTCCTTTTTGCCGAAATTCCCGCCCGGGTTCATCGTACCGATGAAGAAAAAGTTCGGGTGAGCGACTATCAGTTCGGAGTTGGCGCGGTTGTTGAGGTCTATCCCTTTTTCCGCTAGCAATAAGGTCCTTTCCGGTTCTACAAGTATGCAAAAACATGAATTATTATGAGAAAAAAAGTCGAAAAGAAGGTATGATTTGAATTATTGTCAATAGGACAGCTCCTTTTTGCCGAAATCCCCGCCCGGGTTCATCGTACCGATAAGAGTTGGCGCGGTTGTTGAGGTCTATCCCTTTTTTCGCTAGCAATAAGGTCCTTTCCAGTTCTACAGGTGAGGAAAACCATAATATATTATAAGGAAAAAGTCGGAAGGAAGGTTTGTTTTGAATTATTGTCAATAGGACAGCTCCTTTTGTCGAAATCCCCGCCCGGGTTCATCGTACCGATCAGAGTTGGAGCGGTTGTTGAGGTCTATCCCTTTTTCCGCTAGCAATAAGGTCCTTTCCGGTTGTACAAGCATGGAAAACATGAATTATTATGAGAAAGATGTCGGAAGGAAAGAATGTTTTGAATTCTTGTCAATAGGCTCCTATTTGCCGAAATCCCCGTCCGGGTTCATGTTACCGATGAACAAAAAGTTCGGGTGAGCGACTATCAGTTCGGAGTTGGCGCGGTTGTTGAGGTATATCCCTTTTTCCGCTAGCAATAAGGTCCTTTCCGGTTCTACAAGTATGCAAAAACATGAATTATTATGGGAAAAAATCGGAAAGAAGGTATGATTTGAATTATTGTCAATAGGACAGCTCCTTTTTGCCGAAATCCCCGCCCGGGTTCATCGTACCGATCAGAGTTGGAGCGGTTGTTGAGGTCTATCCCTTTTTCCGCTAGCAATAAGGTCCTTTCCAGTTCTACAGGTAAGGAAAACCATAATATATTATAAGGAAAAAGTCGGAAGGAAGGTATGTTTTGAATTATTGTCAATAGGACAGCTCATTTTGTCGAAATCCCCGCCCGGGTTCATCGTACCGATCAGAGTTGGAGCGGTTGTTGAGGTCTATCCCTTTTTCCGCTAGCAATAAGGTCCTTTCCGGTTGTACAAGCATGGAAAACATGAATTATTATGAGAAAGAAGTAGGAAGGAAAGAATGTTTCGAATTCTTGTCAATAGGACAGCTCCTTTTTGCCGAAATCTCCGCCCGGGTTCATCGTACCGATGAAGAAAAAGTTCGGGTTAGCGACTATCAGTTCGGAGTTGGCGCGGTTGTTGAGAACTATCCCTTTTTCCGCTAGCAATAAGGTCCTTTCCGGTTCTACAAGTATGCAAAAACATGAATTAGTATGAGAAAAAAAGTCGAAAAGAAGGTATGATTTGAATTATTGTCAATAGGACAGCTCCTTTTTGCCGAAATCCCCTCCTGGGTCCATCGTACCGATCAGAGTTGGCTCGATCTCGTCCACTCGCTTGCTCTCTCGCTTTCCATCTCACTATTTCATTCATTCTTTTTCGTTTTCCCATCGGGCTTCTTCTCACTCTAACCAATCAATTTCTCACATTGAGAGAGAACAGAAAATTAGCTTCAGATGATAGAAGAAGAATGGCTGTACACACATTGACTTACATTAGTACAGCAGATAAGCTCAAATATATCGAAGACTGGAACCCTTGGCACGATAATCCACTACACACAGGTTTCCCACTAACCTCACCGATTTTTCTCACCTCGACAAGTGTTTTCACTACTATGTTAGCATCTCCAGGAGAAGATTGAAACTAAATGTTCTATCCTATTGCGCCACTTATACAGGGTGATCCACGGTGGATGGCCTATTAGAAGTATCTGGAGAACGAAAAGACAGAACATTCTGAAAATTGGGATGCTTTGATAATTGAACATTCTCTATCCGTCTAAAATATTTTCATCGATACAGTGTTACCACTTCTATCAGAAACAATTAGCAACTTCGTTATTTTAAATGGAGCACCCTGTATTTTATTGCATTTGTAGATTCTTCCTGGAGAGCTGATTTCATCAATGCATCACACTTGGGGTCTAGTAGGAATAATTACAGAGATAATAATAATAATCGAGATATTTCCATTTTAGAATTTTTTTGTGTCGAAACTATTCATTATCGATGTCCCTATCCCTTGATGATTTTTCGATTGGAACACCTTGTATTTTTCACATTTTTCGATTTATCTTGCCTACAGAATTATGTCTTATTTTCGCAATTCGTCTGCGGCGTTTTCAAGTTATTTAGGATTATAACGAGAAATACGCAGTTGATGCCAACTAACCTGTTGATCTTCATTTTTTAAATAAGAAATTATGCATGAACTTCTATGAAGTATCATCAAGATAACTATATAAATCAGAATATGTGAAAAATACAAAGTGTTTCATTCAAAAGTATCATCAATCTTGTAGCTCCGTGTTTAAAAAACATCCTGTAGAGATCAAAATTATGTTGCTTTATATACCTAACGATATTGTACTATATCCCCAACAAGATTTTCCCTATCTCTTATTGCAATGGAGCTATAGAGCTTTTCCACACTATACGTAGAGAACCGGTATATAACTTAAAAGAAGATATAATTTCATTTAAAACATTCCATTAAAATTCACAAATCTTCTGTATCTAACTTCTGATGTCATTCGGGTGTCCACTGGCGGCCATTTTGGAAAATGGCCACCACGTCCGCCACGGGGCAGTTGGTCGATGGTTCCACATCCCAATTTGTTCATATTATATCGGTCTACCTCTGTGCCAAATTCGGTGCCTTCACAGTTGAAAACAAAATCACTGTATACACATTGTCTTAAATACCTTAAGATATATCCTTCTCACACAAAAGAAATCGTCCTCGAGATGAGTACTTTGCGGACGATTGATGAAAGATATTTCGATTTGCTTACCTAGTAGAGAATTCAATCTTTCTAATACACTGTCGTCTGCTAGAGAAATTTCATCGGCCAAAAATATATGGCCCTGAACCATGGCATCAATTAAAGGGCCATCAATCCATTCGAAGAGTTTCGTGGAGTTTTCACTCTGAAAATAACATTTAGAAATTCATCATCTGAATAAACAGCTTCGACATTTTGAAATTTGTGTTTTCCTTATGCTCTGATTTTTTTATTCGTCCAGTCCACAGGGCTATTCTACAAGACAAAGACATTGAAATTTGTAGGATATTCTGTCACGAGTAAAATGCCAAACATGTGATTCGAACAATATGACCTTTGTGAATTTAGAATCACCAATAGCGACATAAACTTTTTCTATGACCCTAACACAAAATTACTCTTACTATGTTCGATACATCAATGAGGTACTTTGTATGTCATCAATTTCATTTCCGTATCTGATATCACATTGACTTCATTGTGTTATTATTTCACAAAATCTCATCTCCCATGAAATGTCAAATTTCAAGCAATGACAGCTCTGTCTAATAGATGAGCGTTACTTAAGAGAAAATCAGATGGCTACAATACGAAGAAATCAGAAATTTCGCTGTTATTTGTTACAGCCGTAGAAAAAGTATAGTGTATAACTTGCACGGAATGCTAATTTCCAACTCGCCTATGGCTCATGCTGCAAACTTCATTCTCGAAGGAAATCACTATCATTCCGTGCTCGTTAAACAATATACTATTTTCTACGGCTGTAACACAAAATTGCTATTGTTTTACTGTGTTCGATACATCAATGAGGTACTTTGTATGTCATCAATTTCATTTCCGTATCTGATATCACAATGACTTCATTGTGTTATCATTTCACAAAATCTCATCTCCCAGGGAATGTCAAATTTCAAGATCTGTCTAATAGATGAGCATTACTTAAGAGAAAATGAGATGGCTACATACCGAAGAAATCGAAAATTTCGCTGTTATCTGTTACAGCCGTAGAAAAAGTATAGTGTATAACTCGCACAGGATGCTGATTTCTCACTCGTATGATTGCAGCATTCGACTGTGCTCGTTGAACAAAATATGTCAATCAGATTCATGCAAATAAATTTATATTACCCTCTTAAAAGATTTAGGAACTTAAAAGTTTCATTCAATTCAACGATAAGGGTGAACATTTTTCATTCAACCAATGACAAGAATGTATGTTCGGGACATTAGATTAGAATAAACTAAATCCATTCTCGCGATCTGAGCATCACCTGTGATGGAGTGTCGTAGGTCAAGATATCGTGACATGCGCGACAATGCACACACAGCAGGAATGCTCAGACTATTACAGACACTTCGACTCTCGCCGTATTTTCGTGAATAACGCACATTTTTTGGTGTTAACGTCGACCTTCGGGATTTTCGACACAATTTCAATATTAACATTTTTCTGGTGTTATGTGAATAATCAACATTGAAATATATCGGGAAAATCTATTCGGGGTGCCGGTCTTGTCAATGGTGGAACCAAGGAGCTCCTGAGAACATCAACCATCAAGGGCATCAGCCAGCCATCTTATAGTAGCAACCGGCAGAAATTCACGAATAGTCAGGTATTTATCCATTCATAAGTGATGCTCTCGATATTTTTATTGTCAATGAATACAGTCCACCGCTTAGTAGCATTTTCTTCAATCGACTTATAATTTGGAAACGAACATTTGGCCCTTCGAGCCCGATAGGAGATTTTAAAAAATTTCTTATAATTTTTTCTATCATTTCAATTAGTGACATAGGTACTTAACTAATTGTTTGATTCATAGTTTCGAAGTGATAAAGTGAAAAATTTTGAATATTTTGATCAAAATTCGCTAATTGATTTGTCTTAAATTACCGTTTTCGCATTTATTTTTGTTAGTCATAGTATAGTGACCGCAAATTTGTTTTGGTTTATTTTGGCCATATTGGAAATTTTAATCAATCGCTTCGACACCTTCATCGATGCGTTGACCGTTGAATCAATGAAGGAGGTGTGGTCTATTTAAGGAAGTAGAGTGGGTGACAGATTTGTTGCGCCGTGAAACACATTGATTTGGGGATCGATGACCAGCAGACAGAATCAGCTGTTTATTATTGTTTATTGAAATTTAGATTTATTCGATTCAGATAGTAAATATATTCATTATATTTCAATTCACGCCCGGAGTTTTGAATTAGATCGCTTCTTGTTGTTTACTATTTGCGCTAAGAACCAGTTTTGTATAACATGGCAGATAAATTGAAAAAACAACGCACGCTCAGGAATGCTTGCATTAACGAAATTCAAATTTTGAGTAATCTCGCAACGAGAGCCAAAACCGAGCCGTCAGTTCGCACGCTGTTTCGTGTTCGCTATGCGGAGATCGAAGACTGTAGAAACGAGTTTGATAAACAACACCAAGCGATTATCAATACGCTGGTGGCTGCGGAACCTGTGGTCGATATGACTTCTGAGGAGGCTATTTACGAAGGATTTCGTAATGAATATTTCGCAATAAAAAGCATTCATTATGACCTCTTTGAAACAGATCAATCAAATTCACTCAATCTTAGCATTCCCGGCGAGGTAAATCAAAATCATTCGCGTGTACGTCTCCCAAAATTAGAACTACCAAAGTTTAGTGGGGATTATACAAATTTTGCGTCATATATCGACTTGTACAATTCCTTAGTTCATTCCAATTCATCCATATCTGACGTTGAAAAATTTAATTACCTGATTGCGAGTTTACAGGGCGATCCTTTATCATTGGTCAGGACTTTGCCTATGACCGCTGCTAATTACGCAACGGCATACCAAACTCTAGTGGATAGATATTCAAATATCAGATTAAGGGCACAAGCCCATTGGAATCAAATAGAAAACACCCCCAAAGTTAACCCTGATAATCCAATCACGATTCGAAAGTTGTTAGACACATTTTCAGAGAATTTAGCTGCGCTACGTGTCTTAAACTATCCTGTTGCTGAGTGGGATTTCATTTTGTATATGATGATTCATAATCGATTAGATAATAGCACGTTACAAAGATTTGAGTTAGAGCACGGTTCCACTGCTGTTCCAACTTATAAAGAGTTGACAGAATTTTTGAATAAAATTTGGATCGCTACGAATTTTGCCCCCTCTCAAACTCGTAAATCCAATAATAGTCCCAAACCGCAACAATGCAATATCCCCGTTGGACAGAATACGAAACGAATAAATTCGTTTTTTGTTAAACCGTCCACACCGGTGTCCTGTGTGATGTGTAAGGAAAATCATGTTTTGTATTCATGCCCTGGATTTTTGAGTAAAACGCCAGCAGAACGCCACACTTTTTGTAAAACCTTACACCTTTGCTTTAATTGCTTGAGCAATATTCATACTATCAAATCCTGCAAATCAACTCATTCATGTTTACATTGCAAAAAGCGTCATCATACTCTTTTACACTTTGAAAATACTAATAATAATAATGGCAATCAAGAAAATTCATCACCATCTTCGTCGAGCGATAATGTATTACAGAATTCACATTTACCCGCTAGAACAACGGCCTTATTTGGAGGTGGAATTGCTTCACCACATGAGAGTGTTTTGTTGTCAACCGCAATTATTGAAGTACTTGACGCTCGAGGGACTTTTCAGAAAATTCGCTGTCTTCTGGATTCTGGTAGCATGAGTTCCTTCGTTACACAGAAAACTGTCAATCGATTAGGTTTAACTCGTAAGGAATCTTTGATAGATATTCGAGGCTTAGGCGCAATGCAAACTATCTGTAATCTTGGTGGAGTATCGTTATCGCTCCGACCGGTCGATAATAGTACAATTAACATAATGGTGGATGCAATTGTGTTATCTAAAATTTGTGATCCACTACCAGGTTCGAAATTGTCTAGTGAACACTGGTCGCATCTTGCTAACCTAAAATTAGCAGATAGAAATTTCGCTACTCCTGCTAATGTCGACGTACTCTTAGGCGCTGACATTTTCGGTCAAATTCTGTTGAATGGACACATTGCAGGCAACGATGATGCGCCTACGGCGGTTAACACCATATTTGGGTATGTGGTCATGGGAAAAATTAACTCTCGTCATTCAGAGTCCATTTCTTCGCTTCTATGTACTTCAAAGGACATAGACTCTCTTGATGACACTCTTAAATTATTCTGGGAGATAGAAACTATTCCGGATAGACCAACCTTAGCGGCCGACGATGCAGTCTGTGAAGAATTATATATTCGGACATATACCAGGGATGAGACTGGACGCTTTTGTGTAACACTTCCCCTGCGAAACTCCGTTCCTAAATTTCCTGGTTCACGCTCTATCGCTCTACGTAGATTTTTGGGCCTAGAACGCAAACTTTCGAAAGACCCGCAACTGTATCTAGAATATTCAGATTTTTTGAGAGAATATTTAATGTTGAATCATATGGAACCCGTTTCAGATGCAGAGGAATCAGACACGGCTTATTATATTCCTCATCATTGTGTGTTAAAACCTCAGAGTTCGACCACTAAATTGAGAGTGGTTTTCAATGCATCAGCAAAGTGTTATGATGGTTATTCTCTGAATGATCAATTGTTTACTGGCCAAAAATTACAGAAGGACATTTGTTCAATTTTATTAAATTTCAGATTACATAAGTATGTTATATGCTCTGATGTTAAACAGATGTATCGAATGATTCTTGTCGCTCCTGAGCAACGTGACTTGCAACGAATTATATGGAGATTTTCGCCAAATGATCCGATTCAGGAATTTAGACTTCGTACGGTTACTTATGGTGTTAAATCTTCTCCGTATTTGGCATTACGGACGCTAATTGAACTCGCAGAGCAGGAAGGGAAGAGGTTTCCAAGGGCTGCATTAGCCATTCGCCGAGATACGTTTGTAGATGACATCGCCACCGGAGCTTCATCATTAGAAGAGGCTTTTTGCCTTCGTGATGAACTTATCGAATTATTCCGGAAGGGTGGTTTCGAGTTGCGCAAGTGGTGCTCGAATGAACATTCCCTACTTCTTGACCTGCCTGAGTCGCATCGCACCAATCATCCTTTGTCATTCGA